AATATTAATATTGTTGTTATTCAGTAAAAAAAGGGATATAAAAAGAAAGAGAAAAAAAGCAAAAAGAAAGAAAGAAGAGGAAAAAGAAATTCTTGTGTTTTGTGCTTGTTGCCATTGTCAACATCACACCATCGACATCGATGTCGTCAGCCCTCTGAACAAAAGAACTCACAAAATCATATTTTCGGCACTCGTAGCGCACTGAAAGATATCATATGCACGCTTTTTCTCTAGCATGGTGGGAGAGAACTCGGTGCGGTGCTTGTGGCGAGCAGGTGAGCCTTGTGCTCGTTTTCTTAGCATGACAGGGTAAAAATTAAGTACCTATGTACGTGTGTCAGTGCCTGCGGGGAAAAATTGTATTTTCAAACAGGTACCTTTGAAAACCCATGAATGCCTTTCTCTGGCAAGGTGAGATTGAAGACCACAGTTGCAGTGTCACTTGACACCGACCATGCACGTCTTTCTCTGAAGTGATGGGCAGGCTAAGACTCCTCAAATTTTTCCTAAACAGGAGAGACATCAGGAGGTTACTGAAATTCATACTGTAAATTCACAGAACTTATTCGATTTATAGGGGACTTGGATTCAACAAGACCACATGGAATAGAACTCATATTAATGAGCAATGAACTAGACCTTAAACTCTAAAATGCACAATCACACCAAAATTACAAATGTTAAGACCAAATCATTCAATTGAATATCAATGTGCAAGCAAAGGATTTGTGGTTTTCAAAATGACTTGCTTGCAAACAATGAAATTGAAGGGAATTTATAATTTAATTGCTAACAGATGTACAAAGCCCATGAACAATACTGTAAATTGCCAACGTATGATAGCAGTTGACATGTAATATTCACATCGGTCATGCAAGCAAATAAAATAGGCCATGCAAGCAGCAATAATAGATTTATTGAAGTGTGATGGGTCCTCTGTGAATAGAAATATACATAACATGCAACATATGAGCAAGTATAGAGAGCTGTAGCAATTGCAAACATCTACGAGCAAGAATAACTCATATAGTTTATTGATGGAACACTAATAGTAGATATGCTGCAAATATGATAGATCCCTTGCAAAAATAGATATGCATACGGTGTGCTGTCTATGAAGAAAGATAATAAACTTATAATGCATGCAAATCATAACAAGCAACAATGATAATGAATAAGCCGTGAATGTAGTAGTCTCCCTATATTCAACATCAATTGGCTTGTTCAACATTAGCCGACTGGCACATGCATACACTAATCCGTTCGTGAACGATGATAGTGGATGAGCTATGAGTGTAACGATTTCAATGGGCTTGCTGATGATGTAGAAATCTCCCATGAACACAAACCCAATATGCAAGTATATGTAGCAACTTGCCAATCAGTGTGCGTAGGGAGAATTAGTGATGAATGCAGCTCACCGACAATCAGTGTTAACTTGCAGAGGAACACATCAACTTCTCTGCAAATGATAAAGTTTCTTGCAAACATACACAACATAATACATGATGAATGTGAATACTTACTAGCAATGATGGAAGATTCACCATATGCACAGTAATATACTTACGGTGATGATCAACGACAACCAATGAGTGCTACGATACCCTCGGAGTTAACAATCACTCAATGTCAGGCAAATACATTGATCTCCTACAAGCAAAGGGGATTAATATGCAATTAATGTAAACACCTACGGGCAACACTAGAAGATTTGCATGCAAAACAACTTGCTCGTAGATGATAGCAGAAGGCTAAAAATGCATACATAGGTCCTGCCTACAAACAACGATGGTGAATGTATTGTAAGTATGGTGGACTCTTTATGCGTTTGAGTAAGAAGATTGCAGCGAGTGCAACACACTGTATGAGGCAAAAGCGATGAGCTTGTGATAAATACAAGCATCTATGAGTGACTACAGGAAATTCGTTAGTACACGACAATCTACATGCATAAAATAGCAAATGACCCATGGTGCAGTGCTACAATTCACCTGTAAGTTGAAGCAAGGGATTTATAGTAAAAATTGGGGGCTACTGATAAGCTGAGGGAGTAAATTTGTCACGCCAAGCCGTCATACCAAATAAATCAGCTTATTTGCAATTGACTTGTAACAGGTCCCTGATGCACCATACATCTCATTTGCAGGCTGAAGTATATTCCCGCAGGTTGAATGCTGAGGAAAATAGCAACTTGCTAAAGACAAGCTGAACTAAACTTCACTGTTAATACATATGAATGAAGTAAAATGTGTTGTTAAATATTGCCACTGGATCCGTAATACTTATATAAGCAGACATAAGGTATTAATCATCTCTTCAAGGAAGTTCGTGCATCTTTCAAATGTTCACTACTTGCCAATGAGAGTTTAGTGCTGCACAACACCCTGCCTACAATAAGCAGCGGGTAACCCATAGCGCAGCGACACGCCACTGAATCCTTACTGCTCGTACAAATGGACAAAAGGCATTTACAGGCCCATAAATACAAAACTTGCGCATTTTCCAAATGATCATCGCATGCAAAACTAGTTATTGTTGAATATTGCAGAACCCCCCATGCATTGAAATAAGCATTGACGTAATCACACGTGCATATACACGTTGCAAAATATAAAACAAATCTTGCAAAATGCATATAAAAGTATATATCTACATGGGCACCGGGGCACCGGCAAGCGTGTTATATGTATACACATGCCGTCTGAGGATGCTGCATGGGTTAAAAATGGAGAAATTATTCCGTGCGGACACCAGATGGTTCGAAGACCAACCATAATGTGCCACATCACCCAATACCCAGTAGTACCCAGCACTGGTACGAAGCAAAAAAGTGATATGGTGCATTCTAGTTGGTCTCCAAACGGCGTCTGGTGCCCGCACATAATAATTTATCCAAAAAATGAACTTAAGTTCGAGCCCGATCCTTTTTTATGAATAGATAGGAGTCGACACGACTCAAACAATCAAATAAAAATATAGTCGCGGTATCGATCCGAATATTTGTTTTATACATTCATATTAGACCTTCAAGGCCAATTACAAAAAAAAAAAAACATTAATAAAGGCATAAAACTAACAATAAACCCGATTCTCTGTCGGTAAGTAGACATGGTTCAAGTGATAAATGAAAATTTCTTATAAATACTCTGATGATGGCTGCATTGACATAAAATCTCAATCGTAGGGGATCTCAAATATTCAAGAATTCCTCCAAATTTGCATAAAATACACTCGATGATGTCAATATATAAAATTGAAATAAAACACTTAAATACTTAAAATAAAAAATACCCATCCACCATCTTTAACACATTTTTGAGATAGATAAATATGAAAATCACTATAGCTCACAAAGAACAAATGTTTAGTCGAGAATATCAATAGGATTCTTTCTCAATTTGTCTCTTGCCAGTAAGTATGTGACACGTGTCATCTAACTAGTGGTTTCGCCGCCAAATGATACCACTGGCAAATGATTATGACCGAGTCCCTTTGATTGGGTGGTTTTGTCATCAAATGACACCATTAAATTATGGCCATGATCAGAACCCTTATGTTCCCCAACTGCTTCAAATTATTGAGTGACGAATCAATAGGATATGACTGATAGGACACAAAACCCTCTGTTAGCTAAGGTGGATTCAGATTTGTCTCCTTAGACAAATATTCATCCTAAGTCTGCAAGGTACTCTTGAACAAAGCAACTCATAGTTGCCGACAATGATCCTTCTGTCAGGTTAGGTCGACTACCTCCTCTGACTAAGTAGACTATAGACCATGATGACCCGAGACGACGGAACCATGGAATCTTAATCGGGTTTATCATCATTACTCCACCATCTGCTTTAACTACATGCTGGTTAATTTCAAATTTTAAATATTAAAATTTCAAAAACCTAAATCCTACTGCTACTATATGCCAGATACTACGTATTTGTTTGAAGACTAGCCTTAATCGAAAGTTCTCTCCCGCTATCGAGAGGGGTAATTAACTATAGGGGCTTGCGCCTATAAGAAGCATGAATTTAGATCATAAAGTCCTCACAAAATGAGGGCGAAATCTATCGGTGATGTCTTATTCACAACCCAATCTTCCATTTGAAAATTTGCCTCGGAACCTACTCGTTAAAACTCTTCTCGACGACCCCAAAAAGAGAAAAGGGGCCGTAGGGAGGCGGGGGCGCGAATTTTCGGAGCTCACAACATCTACTCTCATAACTGGGTCATCGAAAGGCTGCTGTTTTCTGTGACCAAACCATCTAAGTCTTTTTAAGTGGTAGTACCCAGAGTGTTGCACCATCAGACATCAGTAGCTTTTTTGGGCTGGCCTTATTGCAGTGGCGTTTAATGCGAGTATCATGTGGTTCTAAAACTCCTTCTTGGGGATCAGTGGCTGGCTTCTTGTAGCTTCGACTTTGATTGCACTTGGGAGGTGGAAAGGCCTTTGTAACTTTATTGTTTCTTTAATAAATTATTTGGCGAACACCCCAGGGGAGAGTGCTTAAATTTTGTCCATTCCTTGCCGTTGATGTGCTTGTTTTGTTTCAAATCCGGGTTTACTCTGCAGGAACATATTTAGTCTGCATGTTTTTCCTCTTAAATTCTGGTGAATCTGGAAGGGCAAAATTGATCAATGTTTTAAGCTTGAGAGAAACTTTTGAACGGAATGAAACAAGTGCTGTGCGTATAAGATGCAATTTAAGCCATGACACGATTCTTATCTGCATTGAAGCATGTGATTTTGATAAAGAAAAACATATAAAATAGTTTGAGATATGGAAAAGTGCCGTCTTATTTTAGGAAAATTATTATGTGCGGTGTCCGGATTAATCCGGAGGCGAATCTGGACACGTCACCCGGGCCCTGGTGCATCAGGGTAACATGGCGCGCCCGGATTCGCCTCCGGACTATCCGGACACCACACGTAAGGTGCATTCTTATTCACAGAGCTGTCTTTTCAAGAGTAACCGAGTTTCTGTCTGCATTGTTCGCCGCAGATTGCGCCAAACGGGACCCGGATGTGAATGAGGTAATGGAAAAGGATTTCACAGATCTTCTTGCTGAAGAACTCAAACTGAAGGAAGCCGAGGCAATTGATACTCAGCAGCGCGCTGATGTAACTTTACTTGAAGCCAAGAAACTGGCATCCCAATATCAAAAAGAGGCTGATAAATGCAATTCAGGGATGGATACTTGCGAGGAAGCGCGGGAAAGAGCTGAGTTTACCCTATCAGAACAAAAGAAACTGACTGCAATTTGGGAAGCAAGGGCACGCCAAAGAGGATGGAAACCAAAATCTCGTTCTTGAACAAGGAATCAGTCAGTTATAGCCAATTTTCCTCCTCGAAGAGGATGCTACCTAGTAGGAGTAATTATTACGCCCAGACACCGAACGTATCCAGAGACCAATAAAAAAATAGAATACCGAGTGATACGGTGATACTGAGCGCAGTATCACTCAGTATGCTCGGTATTCTGTCTGAACGTAATAATTATTCCAGAGTAGGAGGGGTTATTGGGGTTGTTTGATGGGAAGTATTGTATCATCCATTTCACATCTGTTAGGCAGAAATAGACATTAAGGTTGTATTTGAGATGATTTTTTTATTACTTATTGAAGCAGTTTTTAAGTATAAAGATTAAAATTTTTAACTAAAAAATTTGTTTTAAGAAGCAGTAAGAAAGCCGTCTCAAACGAAACCTAAATTTGTATTGTACTATCAGCTTGTTAATATATCATTTGTACTAATTGTCTAGAACTAAAATCTGAGATGAATATTGCGGTTTCTACATCTGTTATTGTCTTACCTGTCTTTAGTGCCTGCAATTCATCACAATTAGGTGTGGAACTTCTGTGGATTTTGACCCAAATGGTCCGAATTTCTTGAAGCGGGGCCTAGTTATTGACTCGACAGAAAGCTTTTCTCTAGTTGTATGAATGATGCTAACACCTATTTACTTTTCCTCATTGTAGATGGTTGACTCAGTAAGAAAGAGAGGGATGGAGAGTCACCATCACATCTCCTTCCTCATCACATTTTTTCCTTATTTATTCTCTCTCTATCTCTACTCTTACCTCCGGCATCCTTCTGATATCATGCTTATATGTATATTAATTTTTTTTAATAAGTTTTGAGTCTATTAAGATGAACTCATATATATATATATATATATATATATTATATGCATATTTTGAATGTAGTATCTCTTATTGGTGACTAATTATTTTGTGTGGACATCGGATGAAGACAACCGATCAGATTTGCTGCCCTTTTGCAAAAGGGCAGTAAAAGGATATTAAATATTTGAAAATTTGCTGTGCTTTTACTTAGTATTTGCAAAAGCACGGGAAAATGGAAGTAAAAATGCATTCATAATTGAATATTTGCTGCTCTTTTACTGTCCTTTTGCAAGAGCGCAGCAAATTAAGAACTGTTTGGTGTCAGCACAGAACAATTTCTCATTGGTTTGTAATTAAAGCTCTCAATCAAAAGATAATACTCTTTTTTTTTTAAATACTTTTTAAAGGATTGGTGAGGGCAGAGTCAAATTTTGATAAAATCAGAAGAAAAATTACATGTATAAGTGAGGGACAAAAGTATCACCCTAAAATACATACAGTAGTAAAACTGTGGCTAAAAAACCTGGAAGGACCAAAGAAATACGTAGAAAATAAAATAAATAAAAGTAAAGGGCCTCAAGAGCTTTTAAAACAACGATGACTGAATTGTTTTGATGAGATATATGGATAAGAAATTTAGGGCACACATACTGTGTCTAAGAGTAGGAGGTGATCAAGAGCAGAAACTATTCAAGATAGGACCAAAACATCCTAAGAATGACGTTATTCAGTGAACTTAGAAATGAGAAACAACAAAACAAAAGCATATAGTTCTCAGTTCAACAAAATAAACAAAAAATATCCTTCCAGAACAGGTGCACAATGTCCTTGAAAACGAGATCTCATGAAAAAAGCCAGCCACAAAATCGAGAAACAAAACCACGGCATGCCAGAACTGCAGCTCTCCATAGCCAAACTCCATTCAGAATCCACAAACTTCCAAGTTCCAACTATGCATTTCATGAGCCACTTGTATTTTGACTTTGATCACCAACGAAATATTCTATGGTTTATTTCATGTCAAATTGTAGAAAAATTATTCTGTGCGGAAATTGGTCGACGCAGAATGTCGTATGGAGACCAATCAGAATGTGTCACGTCAGCGGTACCAAGCAGTATCGAGTTGCGGTTCCGAGCGAAGGGATGACATGGCGCATTTTGATTATAATAAATGACCTCCTGCGGTTCAAAGTAACTCTAAGTTGGTTCCTCTTTATTCAAAATTTAACGTTAGGTTTGCAATGAAAGCTATTGCAATTGCGATCGACTGGAACATTAGAAGGATACAACAAAAGATCAAAATTCACTTTAGTTTGAAGGAGATAAATCACATCAATTAAGAAACCCTAGACCTATTTTCTGCAATCCAAGGTATCACCCTTTTCTTGCAGGCCTTTTTATGTTCTAAGAATGTGATAATTGGGAGGCACATAAAGGTGAAAAAGGGGTTTTTGTTTTATTAGTCAGTTTTTTTTTTTTTTTTTGTGTGTGGACTTTTGAGTCAATTCAATGTAAACTCACACATACATCACATATGCAAACTTCGAATCTAAGACTTCTTGATTGGTAGTCAAATGTCACGCCCAAAGCCTAGAACAAGAGGGTTGGCTAAACCCCTGGGTGTGACATGCCGAGCGGAGGCCAAGGAGTCCTCTAGAAACATTTCTAAATGGTGTCACAAGATATTGGAAGGTTTTGGAAGACTCTATATAGGTCAAGAGTTTCCTAGAGGATTCTAGATGCTCTGGAATATTCTAAGATGGTGTAGAGAGTAATCTATGATACTCTAGAACTCTCTAGAACATTATAGAATTATTATAAGTGTTGGGAATAATGTGAATTATTTTAGAATAATGGAGGGAATTCATTTGTAAATTTGTTCAGAAAAATATCAAAAGCATAAAATCTTTGAAACAAAAAATAGGATAAATGTTCCTTACATCAAGACGAGAAAAACTCCCAACAACGTCGACAGATGAAAATCACTCTACATTCTCAAAATCCTTGCTTTTTCTTTATCTCTATTATCTTTTCTCTCTATTTTCCCTTAAAACTTCTTTGTTAGCCGAAATCAATAGGGAAAGTTGAATGAAAAAACTTATTTCATGACATGACTTATATATGACTTATAATGGATTTAGACTTTTTAATAAAATAATAAAATAATATTTAATATAATAGTTTATTCAATTTTCAATAAAAATTAATATAAATCTATTTGGGACTTTAAAGATTATTTATAAAATACATATTTTATTTTAAAAAATATTGTTGAAATCAATTTACAAAACGAATACTTAACGGTCTCAAAATCCCCATTCATACCAATATATATCAATTTCTTAAGAATTTTCACTAGTGCAAAAAAATTACAAAAAAATCGTGCAATTAAAGTACTATAATATCAATGCTAAGACAAAGAAGGTTTATGATTTGGACTTATGTTGACTCCAAAAAATATTTAGCAGATTCAAAATACGTGCTATTCCATCATGGGGGCGATGGACAATGGGAGGAGCAAGCCAAGGGTTGACAAGGAGCGGATAAGGATTCAAAACATCTGCTTTGCTTGTGGAGGACCTCATTGGGTAAAGCATTCTCGTCAGTTGGTTGGCCCTAAGACTTCTCATAAAGTGTTAAGGGTGACAAATTAATAGATAAGGTGGTGATTGGGTCATGCAGGTGGAGGCTACACAAGTGGTTCGGGAGCAAGGACAAGAGGGAGAAAACTCTAAGGGAGAGGAGTTGCAAGTTATGGAAGACATCCAAGGGATGGGTATTGCCATCTAACTCATGGGGGTGAGTTAAAGGCTCAGATGAAGGCTTGCCAATAGGAATTACGAAAGTCTTCGATGTACATTCGAATGTCTTGTCGATGGTGCAGCCTGAGGTGGACCCAAGGAAGCAGGGGAGATCCCAAGTCCTTGATATACAATAGCAGAAGATGAATAAGCCAACTCAGGGTCCCAAGTCCTTGATGCACCAGCAGATGATGAGGAATCCAACCCAGGGGAAAAGGCAAAGGTCCAATGAAGCCAAATATGCAGAATGGACCTCTGGCGATCCAAGGACCTTTAACATGAATTTAATGAGGCACATGATGAGGGTATCATAAGAAGAGGTGCACGATGATGTCATGCCAAAAATCTTGAACAAGAGGTTTAGCTAAATCCCTTGGGCGTGACATGTAGAGCAGAGGCCAAGGAGTTCTCTAGAACCATTCCTAAATGCATATGATATTAGAAGGTTTTGGAAGACTCTACATAGGCCAAAAATTTATTCGCTATAGGAAAATCTGTTATTATCGTCGGACTTTCCGATAGACATGTATGCACCAGAAAAAGCACGTAACTGTCATATTATATGTCGGTAACTTTACGGTGGAATTACTGGCGTATATTCCATCATGACGGTACCAGTGTTTTTTTCATTCTACATGCTCTAGAATATTCTATGTTTGTGTAGATATGTAGAGAGTAATCTAAGTTATTCTAGAACTCTCTAGAAAATTATATAATTATTTGTAAGTGTAGAAAATGTTGCAATTCGGGCTTCCGAGTTTATGATTTTGATGATAATAAATAATATTTATTAATCTTTTATTTCTCCTAGTGTTTTTAGTGCATATTTCTTTCTATGTTGACTAATATTTCAGGTACATCATGCACCGTTCTTTGAAGTTTCAAGGCTCAAGATTGTGTAGAATTGATTGTATTAAATGAGTATGTAATTTTCTTTTCTTGAGTCAAGTCTTGTAATGATGTATGTTAGATTGGTGACTATGCACACACAGAGGGAGCAAAAAATATTTTTAAATATTTTAATTTTTTTATACATCATATTGTACGATCTGTATCGTACTGTACGATCTAGTGTAATAGAAATTAATTAAAATATTTTATTTTTCTGAAAAAATATTTTTAAAATATAACTAATCGTAATGTATGAACACCACATCGTACTGTACGATCTGTTATAATTAGAAAGCCCGCCATCCATTAAATTAGGCAAAAATATGAATTTGAAAAGTTGTTCTAATTAATCGTATTGTACAAACATTATCGTATTGTATGATGTTTAAAATATTGCCTAATTTAATCCTGTGATTATTCAATCAAAATAGCTTAATTTTAATATTTTGATCGTCCTGTACGAACTGGATCGTAATGTACGATCAAACATAGACTATATTGGCGAACTGCTCGTTTATTTAACGGTTTGTACAGGACATCATACAGTATGAACTTCAATTGAACTGTTCGTACAGTACTAACTGGACATCGTACAATACTAACAGGTCAATTTCTGCACATCGTAATGGACGATCTTGTGATCATACGTTACGATATTTGACGACCGAATTGAGTTTTTTTAGGGTTTTTTGAGTCCTCTATTTAAGCACTCTCATAAAACTTTATAAGAGTCTTTGGCAGCCATTATAGCTTCATTTTTCTAGAGAAAAATTGAAGAGAGAACTTGAAAGGGAGAGAGGAAAGGGTGGAGTTTGAGTGAGGGAGAAGATCCTTGGAGAGGGTTTCA